GCTTATGGGTTAGCATTTGTGCTGCTGGGTTAGCTTTTGTGCTAACATCTGAGCCTTTGTGCTGCTGGGTTAGCCTTTGTGCTAAAGTCTGAGCCTTTGTGCTAATGGGTTAGTTCGCTGAGCATATATTACTGACTATAGCCTCCAATTTTTAAGGCACATAGCGAAAATTATATTTGAGAGTTTAACGGAATCTGATGATATTCGGCTGATATATACAGTATTTAAAAGTATGTGGGTTTTTTTTCTCGGAAATGTAAAGTGTGTAAGTACACAAAATGTACAATACTGCTAGTGTCACGTTAGCCAACTGAAAACACTAAGATTTGACACTGATTTCATGTTTGGAAATGTAAACCCTTCAAGTGGTATGCTTTTATCAGTCAAAGATGCATTAAACTAAAATTCCTATCAATGGGAAAAGAACCCGCCCATACTTGCCGGATCGGATATATTTCGTGGTTAAAGGAACATCTGTAAAACCTTGGATAAACACCTTTCCTATAAATTCTTCACAATAAAAGTCCTGCTGTTTTTGCTGCTTACTGTTTTTCCCCACAGTACGCAGGACAACATGTTCTCTTGTGTGAGATCACAGTTGAGAACTAGAACACTTCAATTGGCCCACATAACTCCCAAAAGAACGGTTGTGGGTTCCACATAGCCTGAACTAATAAGTCATGGTGGCTGGTTGAACAATGACTCCATTTCTATGCGCACAAAAGCAGAGCAGATTACTATCATAAATCAGGATAAACCACGGCAGCCTCATTTACAACTGAGCAGAAGCCCAGTTCACACAAAGGTAGTAATCCATCAGATTTGGCTGCTAAATTGTCAGACAACTTTATTTTATTTAAAAGAATGAGAAAAAAGCCAAAACCATTTTACAGCACTGTTACCACAGTGATGCCTATTTACATGACCTCTCTGGTTGCTGCCAAAAGTGAGGAGTAATCGGATTACTCTAAACTACTCGGAGGGATCGCTGGAACTCACCAGTCAAAGCATCATCGCTGCTCGTCATCTCAGGGAGAAATGTGGCTGATAGGGTGGAAATCAAATTTAAAGTATAATTCCTTCATTTTTTTTGTGAAAATGTCGGTGAAAACCGACCGCTAAGTGACACGTCGGTGTATCTGGATGATCTGCAGCATGTTACAAATACACCTGCTATACGCGGGTAAACACACATGTACAGAGCGTATGTCGCCGTGTGAAGTGCGTTCAGAGAGGTCATCGCAGGGCAGACGAGAGCTCAGTCCGATCCACGCAGATTGAGTCCGGCTTACTGTGGCTGAGCTGCTTTGATTCGGGCTTAACGCTCAGTCATCCCTGCTTTAATGCTCCTTTAGGCCGTCTATAGCGCATTAGTGCCACCGCATTAACACACTGATGCTCTCACTCGAGCCCGCTAGACTGTGCCGCCATCCAACCATCCCTGCTGCAACCATCGCCATGTAGCCCGGATCCATAAAAGTTGATCCTATTGCACTCGCTGCGTTCAAAGTCACTTTTCGATGGTCAGATTGACGGATGGCGAGCTCCGCGGCCCGGAGAGGGAGGGACGGAGCCACCGCCGGCGCCGAGGAACTGCAGCCACTATGTGGCCATTAAAATGATTTGACTTGTCATGTCCGTGCCCTCTCCTATTCATCCCCGTGGAGATTTGGCAGAGCGAGGGGGGGGGGGGGTTTCGTGCTACTTTTATACATGACGGATGATGCATCTGGTCGACAGATTTCTGTGGGCAGCTCTTAACCTGAACTCGCTCAAACATAATATTTATAAAGCGATTCTGTGGGTATGCAGGAGTGTGTTAATACTCTGTGAGCTGCATCTGACAATTTTTTGTAATTTGACAGAAAATCCGGCAATCATGCCCACTTTATGCGGCAATAGGCTGGGTTTGCGGAGATGTTATTGCGAGGCAGCCAGGATTTAAACAACTTCTTTAATTTTTTTTATTGTGTTAACAACTTCACAACATCATTAATTTCTCAAGCTGGTCTGATTCGACGTTCTTACGAAAAATAATGCACCGTAATTCGCAGATATCCCACGAAATCCCGTAATCATGAGCTATGAGCTGGCGGGACATGAGATGGAGGGGTCCAACAAACTCGGATTTGTCACCCTGGAGACCGCTGTTCGTTCCCCATGTGAAATGATAAGTCAACATTGATTTGTCACGTAACTTGCGCACTTCCGTAGCTGCCCTTCCGTAGCGGCGCTTCTGTAGTTATTTTAACCCAAACGTCCACCTTTTCCTAAACCTAACCAAGTAGTTTTGTTACCTAAACATAACAAAGTAGTTCACAATCTTTTTCTAAACATAACAAAGTAATTCAAGAACTTTTCACATTGCTCAATCCCATACGAAAATCTTTTCCTGAACCTAACTAAGTAGTTTTGTTGCATAAACTTAACTTGTTTCCTGTGAAAACGGAAGTTCAGTTTGAAATGGCTGTATACATGTAATGAGCAGAAATTGACATGTGTTGCTGGATTTTGTAGGAAAACTCACAAAAAATGAGGAGTAACTTTTTGTAGGATATCATACGAACCGTTTTATGAGGATATGTTGAAATCAAGAAGAGTCTGAAAGTGTGTGCTGTTCATAGACTGTACATAAGAAGTGGACGTAGTCATTGTGACGTCACCCGTTGGTTTGTGGACTGCCGTTTTGAAGCCTAGATTTCGACAATTTCGCCATTGCCATCTTAAATTACGTGCGTTGCCATGTTGTTGTTTTTTTGCAAGCAATGACAGGAAGTTGCCATATTTGGAATGCGGAGGAATGGCGTAGAGACGTCATATACGGCTCTGGTAACGGCCTCGACCTGTCAATGACAGTAAGCCCCGCCCTAAAGCATACTTTGCTTTATGGTCTTTATGGACTTGAAACTAGAGATTAAGACCATAAACTTATGTTTACAATGTTTCCTGAGGTAATAAATCAAGAGAAGTAGTAGTTCTTCGAGTACATTTGGGGATGACGGCCCACATCTTCACTTTGAGTTCCAGTTTTTCCTGGAAGACTTTCATAGCGTTGGACTTGTTGGTTGTTCACATGAAAAATGCAAAAGTCTTGTGTAGCATAGTTGTGCCAAGAATGTGCAACCGCTTGACAGGAATAGGAGTAAGATGGGGAATGCAGGAAGAACACATTATATGCTTTGGCTTGTGCTGTGCCTGCTTCCGTTGAGGAAGGGGGTTTGGTGAACATGGGCTCTTTGGTATGTTGAAGAGATAAAGGTCCTAGAGTACTGCCATCTCAAAATATCAGCTGATCAGCAGGACTCAACAGAAAAAAGAGGGTCAGACTGACCCTTATGGGGCAGTTGCTTGTGGGAAAATACCAAAATTTTCATCCCTCCTCTCAACAGACGTCGCCCGATTGCGTGTCAACAGGAATTAAAGTCTCGTCCGGTTCTGCCAGGAGGTTCTTGGCTTCTTCTGGTTCTGTGCAGCGAGATGGCCGTTCCTTCTTGTTCTCTGCCAGGGCTTTTATGTAACCCCTTTTTTTTTTTTTTAGCAAGCAGAGATCCAAAATCCGACTTTGAGTTTGACTTAGTTGGTTTCACTCGCCATGAATTTGTACTGCGCTGGGAAAATAATGGATTTAGATCTGGAGTTCAGCCTGTCGTTATTGCACATGTAATTGATAATGTTTTTCTTGTTTTAATTTTGAGGATTAGGCTCTGTGAATACAATGACCCGTAAAATAATAAAAGCTTTTGTAAACCAGTTTATTAAACTCAAAGCTGCTGTCATTGATCTAAAATGCCTGTTTTTATGGTACCTTTCATATCTAGATTTTTTAATTATACTGACATTTAATTAAAGCTATTAATCTGTAAATGAAAGTAATTTAGAATGCATGCAGTAAAAGTACACATTTTATAATCCTTCAACCAATAAAGACTTAATTTGAAGAGATCCTGAAACACTGAGTCTGGCAATTTAACAGAAAATCCACTTTCTATTTTGGAGTTTATTAAACTTAATAACTCTTTAGACACAACGTGTATATTTGATATTAAAATATTCTATATGTGCACCTTTTGTTGTGCTTCAAGATGACTAATAACGGATGGTGCATGCAGGCACTTTAATATAGAATAATTATTCTTAAACCACAGGAAGTGCAATCAAATGATATCCATAAACAACACAACCCTCTGCTCCGTCCGTAAAATCCCATTAACGTGTATTAGGGATTACTTCCAGAGCAATGTTGATAACACCAAATGTCTCGGGATAAGTGGGCACGCTCTGAAACACTACAAGTGAGACAATTTTGCTAAAGTAAGTAAAGGCTTTGAATGTTTGGATTTTATCTCTTCTTATTAACTTCCAAGCAGTTCGTCCAGTTTGTGGAAGCGAGGTTTACCTTTTGAATTTTTGACGGACTGTGTCGGGTGAAGAGGTTCAGAGACAGAATAGCGGTCTTTTCTTTATTTTTTTTATTTTTTATTACACAGCAGAGTTTCAACTCACCACTTCCTGCCGTTCCATCGCCTCCACAGTTTAGATTTGAATTGAAAGGGAATCGAGAGGCTGGAATCTGCATCGTCTCAAACGCTAGAGATGGAAAGCTGCTCTCTGCTGCAGCAGAGTCTGTTCGACTGATAACACAGCACGACCTTCACGTTAACGGTGCAATGTGGCCACAATTTTAGGTTAAAACATTCAAAAAATGAACCACAGATCTAACCTAAACTAAATGTCAATGTGACACGTTTAGATATCAGTGTTATTAGGATGCGCTGTAGAGCTTCGGCAGTTTGGAATTTCACGTATTCTTGCCCTGCTGTTAGTTAGTAGTTGGCTTTTTTTATTTTTTACAGCCGACTGTGTGGACTCATTAGTAGAGGTGAAATGCTCCCCCCTATTTGTTTGGAGCGAGTGGCCAGGCATTACACATCGCACCTTTAATAAAAATGTGAACCAATGCACCTTTAAAGCAGAAACTCTCTTTCTATTTCTCTCACCAGGTCCTCGATGGGCGTCATGGAACCTCGGGGTGTTCATGTGCATCCGCTGTGCCGGCATCCACCGCAACCTGGGTGTCCACATCTCCAGAGTCAAATCTGTCAATCTGGACCAGTGGACACCGGAGCAGATCCAGGTACACTGATTGTATCTGTGATTTATATCTGATGAGACCAATTTGGACCTGGTTTGTTGTAGACCTAGTAGCTCCTTTTATCAAGAATCCGATGTTCTCACTATGATACATTTAGACAACAGTAACGTGCCGTGCGGCAGAAACCATGAGAACAGTTGGTGAATGAGGCCAACACATAATCAAACAACTAAAGTTAGCTTTGTGCAAGTTGACCTTAACAAGTCACTGTGTAGTTTCTGTTTTACGGTCAAGTTTTCCATTTAACCGAATCGACCCAATTTGTTTCAAAAATCGCACCATTTCCTCTCCGATTCATTTCCTCTACGATTCACAGTCAAATTGAAACACACAGAAGTCGAACACAGACTGGGGGAATCCGTGGAACTCTTTGATGTTCACCTCAAAAGTAAATCATTGAAAAGAGACGATCTGACCACTCAAAGCGCCGTACACGGCATGTCAACATTCACCCATTCACACATTGATGGTATAGGTGGAAATGCTAATTGGCACATGCTCATCAGGATCTAATATCTAAAAAAAACGATCGCAGAGCCTTGAGTTCAGCATTGAAGGATACTTCAACATGCGGACTGGAGGAGCCGGGGATTGAACCGCCGGACTTCCGTGTGGCAGACGACCCGCTCTACATCTAATCCACACCCGCCCCACATATCTTGAGTTTTACATTTTGGTCGTTTGAGACCGGAAGTGACCATTTTTGGACGAGAGGGTGGGGCCAGCAGCTAGCATTAGCTTGTATGGTCATTTTGGCTAGCAAAAAAAACATGGTTAAAAGAAAATGTACTTACGATCTTTATCTTGTTTCGTTTATATTTGACATTTTAATGTAACCCATAATTTACTAAATGAACATGCTACCGTATTGAAGAAGACTTGAAACTCGTGATTGGGACTATAAACTCATGTTTGACACGCGCACACACACATTTAGGGAATACAGAGACCTGTAATTAGTGTGTATATGTGTGTTTCGTGGGTAACTAGCATGTCTCATTGATTCAATTACACACAGTAAATGAGGAGCACTGGTGCGTGCGTGCGTGCGTGCGTGCGTGTGCGTGTGTCTCTCCCTCTTCAAGGCACTGCCTACCCATCAGCTGAGTGCGAGTCAAAAGGAGGACTCACTCTGAATTTGAATCACTGTTTTTCAAAGACTAATTAATTCCGGATGGCTGATTGTTCGGACTCCATCTCAACCACTTCTCCTATCATCACCTCATGTATCACCCTCCTCCTGATTTACCCTTGACCTCACACGGCCGCCGTGTCTTTCACACACGTGCGTTCGAATGTGTGTGAAAGGATTCGGCGGGCAAATTTGAGTCGAATGCAAATGTGACTAACGAAAGAACTTGCTGTGTGCGTTTGACATGTTCTTTGAAGGAGTTTCACCAATTGATGTACTTTTCGTTGTTTCTTCCTCCCCTTTCTCTCCTTGCAGAGTATGGTCGACATGGGCAACAACAGGGCCAAACGGCTGTATGAAGACCACCTACCGGAGAACTTCAGACGGCCACAGGTGGACCAGTATCCTCCTTGTTTCTGTGTGTTGTATTCTCCGACTGTCTCTTTACTGCCCCGTGCATTCATTCAACCCCAACTTCATCTACATAAAAACTCAGTTTGTCACAATACATGTCACCATACATTGGCGTAAAAGTCTCCCCGACATTGCGTGCAAGCTGCTCTTGTCACACTAAATGTGCATTAAATGTACATTTTTTTTTTATAAAACCCTCTGTCAACATGGAGAGATTTGCATACCACCATATGTGCCACCCCGATATTTACATCGAAATCTTAAAGCTCCCAATATCACCGCTACTTTGTGGTAGTTGTGACATTTAGATGGGCGACAAATGAAAGAAAAGGTTTCTACTGGAGGGTTGAACAGCAGTCTTCCAGAAGATATTCACTCTTTTGTTTTTATGGTGACTGCGCTGTTGCTTCAAAGTCTCCCATTGGTATTCAATTGTATTGAGATCTAAGGACTGTTAAAGCCATAGCATTTCCATACCCATCAAAGCATTTAATGACCCCTCGTGCGCTGTTGACGGGGGGGCGTTGTCATCGTGTTAGATCCCACTCCCATCAGATGTTTTCCTCTCGGGATCATGATCCAGAATCAAGGTCGACTGGTGCCGGCCCTGCTCAGTCTCTAACTATAAAGTAAGATTCTCTGACTGCATGTATGTGTGTGTGTCCTTTGCATATCTCAAGGACCATTCGTCCAATCTACTTCACACTCGGCGGGTGTATTGATAGGGACCCAAAGTCGTGCAGTGTTCAATTTGGTGCAATTTAGAGACTCGACACGTTCAATACTAGTGGTCATAAAAACACACAATATCAGAGATCGGCGTGTAGAAAACATGAATGCCGATGTCCTGGTCGCATATTTTACTGAATATTGGAGGATCGTCAGTAAAACTTTATTTCACACTGTGATAGTTAACGTTAAACTGTGAGCCGAACCGTGAGGGGTGATCCGTATGGATCAATCGTGGCCCTGTCTCAGAGCTGCTGTGTGAAAACTTTATTTTGTAGATTACAGCACACTTGTCATGCATTGCAGAAGGATTTCTGTTTTGTTTTAGTGATGTTTATGTCCTGAGGTCGGTCACACAGATTTTTATATTAGACTGTTGCTGAAAAAAAAATCGCTTTCGAGTTAAAAAGGTTCAGATTTATCTGCATCAGTTCAACCTGAAATCACTCCTGCAATCTGCCTTTTTTCTGCAACGAAATGACATCCTCAAATCTAACTCGTCGCCGTCATCAAACTTCAGCTTTCGTCGGCATCTCCCAAATCATCTCCAGCAGCACACGAGAAGTGACAGGCTCCGCCAAGTCGGTGTCATTCCACACACTTAATCAGGACACCTCTAGCAGCGTCTGCGTATGCAACAACCGCGAAAGCAGCGGTAACCAATTTGCCCCTTTTTCCATGAGACAGCTTGGTGGTTAACACAGCAGCATATGTTCATATTTCCACCAGCAGACTGAAATAAATAATCTCCCCGTTTGAAACGCGGCTCTAATACCCTATCTTGTATCTGGCAGGCCCATTTGTGCGGGTGGTCATCATTCCTCACTCTTTTGAAGTCCATTAGTCGTTCCGACAGCAGCGCCGCTGGCTGAAAACGGCAGATAACGGACCCAGGATTAGAGGAGCTATACCGCCTGAATGTGTGTGAGCGTTTCCTATGTGTCCTCCTGTGTTCATACATTACAGCCATCTACTGTGCTCTATATGTAAATGACTAAATGGCGTTTGATTCCCCCCGCCATTATTTTTTTAACTCCTACATTAGTGCTCGTGTAATTACGAATGTTTTTCCTTCAGTATGGACACATTGATGTCGTCTTGGTGTATTTGCAGTTGTATAGTTTGACTAATATAGGTTTTCATTTGTCAAGAAGAATGTTTTGTTTGGAAGAATTCTAGTAATTAACATCTGTAATTAGCCATATTCTAAATCTTCATTTATGTGCTGCACTCTAGAAAAGTGCACTCCGTGTGTCTCCCTCTCTTCTCCCAAACAATTCCCTTTTTACAAAAAAAGATTACAAAAAAGGGTATTTATTCATCTCATATCGTGACTAACTTCAGTGGATCATAACATATCGGTTATGGAATTAATCTGCAGATGCTCCGGTTCAAAATGAGACCAAACCTTTCTATGGATGTCAATGTTTGAGGCCAAATTGTGGCCTTCGACAGACTCGGTGAGGCTTGTTTTTACCCGAGCCGATGGCCACAAATGCCTTTTGCTGCTGAAGTAAGAAAGAGATTTGCTGTGGATAGACTGACAGATACACGCTCTCACACACACACACACACACACACACACACACACACACACACACACACACACACACACAAATGAACACATGATCCTCTTACGCCTGGCAGAGATAATGATTATGGAACACAAGAGTTCATTCATAGTTTTGCATAAATTTTTACCCATTGATATCACCACCACCACATAAAAAGGGATTCTTTAACAAATCTAAAATGTTCCACAAAACATATCTACAGTTATAAAATGTTTTGTAAACGCAAAGTCCTCCAAACTCCTTCCTAAGGAGTATCTTCACAACCATGGCCCTTTTTAAACTGCTGACATCCATAAACCTGTGTGAGGTTTATTCAACAGAATATAATGACGATTAACTGTGGAACTGCTACTTTTTCTAGCGTCTACCTTTTGTGTAAATCTAGATATAATATCTAACACTCCACTGTCGTCATGTGAACAGAACCACCGTGTCATCTGGCACACATTTATCCATTACACTCGTTGCGGAGTGTCTTGGTGTGTAGCATCCCATCTGTTCTGCTGTCTCCAGTCAACAGTACTGAATAAGTGCTGTGTCTGACATGCAGCCCGTGCAGCTCGACCCGTGCTGGTGGTCATCATTTTTTCAATCTTTGGAAGTCTATTACTTGATCCGCTAGAGGCGTCGCCGCTGAAATGGGGAGATAAGAGAGTCGGGATTAGAGTCGATGTGGCGCGTGGGTGTGAGTTGGGCGTGAGGTTGAGCGGGTGTGTGTGTGTGTGTGTGTGTGTGTGTGTGTGTGTGTGTGTGTGTGTGTGTGTGTATGCGCACACGCAAACACTTGGCATGTCTGTCATGGTGCTTTGAGAATGGCAGGAATCCTAACATAAACAACATGATGATCAGCCTAATTTCTGTTGTTAATGAAATACAGTTCTGTGATAAGATTGAACAATATCAGCAGCGGTATTGATACCATTTGGCAAGGAAACTCAATGTTAAAGACTCTTTCACACATTTTTCACATATGTCCAAAAGCTCTGAGAAACAAGTGAGAACAAGCTTCTGTGAAAAACAGGTTTTGGCGGGTGAAATTGTGTTTGTTGGTGTAAAATATATTTCAACCACAAGAGGCTGAATTGCACCTCTACGTCACGTTCTAATGAGACTAAGATCATGCATGTTTTCTTCCAGGAGTTTTGATTTCTCCATGTACTCCAAACACATGGTACTTATGTTGTTTTAAGCAAGTTATGTGGATTTAAACTCTGGTAGAAAACATGAATGCTTTTTGCCCTATTTAGAAGATGTGATAATGGTGCACTTCAGCCTGTTGTCACAAATTGAAAAAAATTAAAAAACTTAGAATAAACACAGGATAATCTTCTCTTTTGCTTCTCAGGGCTTCCATACATATGCTTTTAGCACTACATTATTTTTTTGCAAATTTTGTCTTAATTTAATGTTGACTGTGTACAGATAGCATTAATCAAATTTAACAATTATGCCATGAGGATTATAGACCAGTGAATTCAAATTCAAGCACGTGATGTAATCTGATTGTGTAAATTCTGAAGATTGATTGGAAGCGCTACTTGCGGTGTTGTCGAGAACAGCGCATAGCTCTTTGACTCCAGGAAGTGCAGAAGAAAGTGGTTGTAAAGGCCAAATGCTTGACTCCTCAGAGCCCTGAGGCCACGCCCCCGCTGCTGCACAGAACCCTATTCCATGTTTCTTTAAAGTTTCTTAACATTGAACGTGTCACGTGTCCAAATTGCTCCAACTTCAACTCTGCACGTCTTTGGGTCCCCATCGAAACACCCGCCAGTTGTGAAGTAGATCGGATGAACTGTTCTTGAGACATGCAGGTGACACACGGAAAGACAGAGATTCATTGCTTTATAATGGGATGTACATCTTCTGACCTGATGTCCCTATTAGCAGGAACAATACCTTCTAAAACCGTCACAAATCACTGTTCCAGTTAAGATTCATATAGAGATACTCATTCCTGATATTTTTCTGCCATGGTGGGGATTTGGTTGGTTTAGGTAAAACACTTACTTGGGGATCTGAAGGGGAAAGATTGTGGTTTGGGTTGTAATATTGGATTAAGTTCTCTGCCCTTTTCTTAAGGGGATGGTTAAAGAAGTGTTTAGAAATGGTGTTGTATGGGGTCCATATCCATAGTCGGTGTATTACCTACAGTAGCTAGCAGTCAGCTCACTCCCAGTTTGGAGAAACAGACCGGAGTACTAGCACGGAAGTAGTAATGTACTGCTGTGAATACGGTCAACAGCAAAACGTATTTTAGGCACCTATGTCTAAATGTAGCTTGTCTACCACCCAAAGAATTAGGAAAACAAAGTCTTGGCACTGCCAGTTTTTTTCTCTCCGGTGTTCCCATGAACTACAATATGTTGATGGTGTTAGCGTAATATGTACTGTATGTTTCTACCGTATGTGCAAAACTGATATCTAGATATTTCTGTGCAGTGTTTCAGTCCTTAATTCTAACCTTTAGAGCAGTGGAGGTCTTCATCCGGGACAAGTATGAGAGGAAAAAGTACTACAACAAGGAGGCCCTGGCTGCAGAACCGGTGAGTATCAACCTCACTTCTTGTTTTTTACAATTTCAGTTTCAGCCTGTCGGTCTATGTTGTTGTTATAGCTGTGTACAGAGCTGACATTTCACTGACGTGTGTGCATCAGTTGTTGCATATGTTTGATGTAAGACTGCCAGTATCTTCTAAAGACGGAAACCAACTCAAGAGCTTACTTACATTTTACTTTTTTTATATGTATGTATGAATGTATTTATATGATTCCCTGTCTCTTGCCTCTGAATGATATAAGGCTAAAAAATTGCATCAAAGAGTGTGTGCATGGTTTCAGGCTGCTGTTGTGCTAAAAATGCAAATGTGCTACTTATCACATTTGGCATCCATTCCTCACACAAGACATTTGAATGGGCTCCAGCTCTGACTTGTCTGTGCCATGGTGCCAAGGCCTCGTGGTTGGCTTCCAGTATCTTTCACCCATCGAGCCTGTAAAGTCTGTATCAGCAGCTGACCTTCTGCACACTCATG